CTGTCTCCCGTTTGTAAATTACTAGTGGCCATAGAGTTACTAATCGTTTGACGTTATCGAGCCTTTAAATCTTTTTGGCTCAAAAAAATTAATACGTGCTCTCTATAGATGGTATAAAAATATATTGTTTTTCGCAGAATTCCGAACACGACAAGTGTACTATTAGTTGTTCTGCCGCTAGGAACTTACGTTAAAGAAGTTGTACGGATGCCTAAACGGAAAACTTTAGTTTGGCTAAACGGTTTCTGTAAAAGAGGCACACGCGTGCCTCAAAAATATGCTTCAAAATATGATGGCCCAGCCAGTACTGGCTGGGCCATCATATTTTGAAGTGTACCGATTTATCCATCCACACAAGCTCAATGAAACCACTTCAGCGTGTTATGACTCTTCTTATACAGTGAAGAGTAGAATTCACAAAATTAGTTTGTGTTATGAATTATATAGTTACTTGGTGGGACAATAATCTATGCACGACCTTTTGGCGTGATCTTGAGCATGTCCACCCACTGAGTAAGACTAATTAAGGGTTATGGTTTACACTTAATGGTTAGCACTAGGGATTATATTTAGAGTTTCCATCATGAACCGACACCAGCTAAAATGCCAAAACGCTATTTAGCCAAATGAATGGACGAATTTCGCGTCAAAACTCCAGACTTGTTATCTTACAGCTGGTTAGTTTTTTCATAAATTATAGTCTCGTCGTTGCTTAGTTCTAGTACAACATTTAATGCTAGTGTCGAAGGTGCAACGCAAAGAGTAAATGCAAACGAATTTTGGATTAAATAACGACTGATTGTTGTCAGTTTTTGTTTCATATCGATACTGTCGGTAACCCTAGGTGTTTAGATGTTTTCAGTTCTGTTCACTGATTAGGTATTTTTTTCTCGGTGATTGATAGGGTTAGGAGTATAACAGTCATTAACACATTTTCATTTGTCCACTGTGAATGAACTCTTGCAAATCATTTGTTTTATCTTTGTTGCTCAAAAAGAGAGTGATAGCAAACAATGCTTAGTCACCCATTCTATGCTGGTTATTTCAACCCTGGTCTTAATGCATGTGTGAGTCGATGCTTAACTCACCATCCGAAATACCACAACGACATAAAGATTTTAAAACTGTCCCAGAAAATGAGCTGACTTGAAAGCCAATAGATCCCAGTAGTTGTTTCACACTAAGTACTCATACCGTATTAATATGTGGTACAAAATTTTCTTAGAGAAACTCAGGCCTATACTGAGCCACAAACTTCGAACCACTGGGGTGGTATACAGGACGGACGTCGATTCATGTAAAAGTGAAGTCACACGAATTCCAGCGATGGATCTAGTGATTAGCATCTGACGTTGAACAATAAGTATTGATTGAAGATGATTCTTCAATCAATCTATGACAGCGATGTAGAAATAAAATCTGTCGAAATTCACCAAGCGAAGTCCCTTATGGAGTATATGTGATAGACTCAATGTGAGTTCTGTGACTACTTAGGTTTCCAAGATTTGTATGACTTTTTTAATTGTCTAGTCTTATTTTTTAACATGTGTAATATAGGACAAGGATTTATGGTCAGAGTTAAAAGGATTGTTACTCGGGATATTCACTAGATAACTAGCACTCGTATCCCCCGGTGATACATTTCCCTATAATCTATTGTTACCCCTAACTTATTCCATGAGTGATTATCGGGCCATCATTATTTGCATTACTCTGAGCTTTTAATGAGAACGTGTTGGTATCAGAGAGATGAGGTTCCGACGCCAAACATATAAGTGACTGGTGGGGGAATAAGTAAGTTGATTTAACCTTCACTGGTAATTGAGGGAAATGTAGGAGGTAGGACTAAAAAATGAACCACTCGAAAGTCCATTTTTACATATTTGTAGAACTTACATCCGGGTTATTGTAAATAAATCTACATCTATTAACAACTTTTAATTTAGCTATAAAGTCTATGATCAGAGCTGTAACCGTAAAGAAACAAAAGATATTCGTTGCGCCTCAAAGTCATACAACTGTAAAATGGGAAAGCAAAACTCTGAAAACCGGTTGATGTGTATGGATGACAGTATGCTGTTTCAAGTTTTATCTTGTTCGGGACACTGTATACACTTGTATTAATGCACTCATTTACGTGCTTGTTAACTTCAGCCTCTGTGTATATTTTAGAGCCCTTTGAAGGATTCGTTCTGTAGCGGAATAAAGGCTAGGGTCGCTGGTCATCGAAACATTGAGAACCAAAAGGCCTAAGGGATCGGCAGATTTTAAACTAGGAGTTTAAATTTTCCTATATATTTCAGTCGTCACTGCAGCCTACGAACTTTGGAAGCGAAGATAATATGACTCACTAGATCGCCTTCGGTATTACCCTTTCAATCTACAATAAAGTCGACAGTGACTTCATTTTCAGGCATTAGTAATTCCGATCATATATATATATATATATATATATATATATAAAGAGAGAGACAGACTGGTCACCTTGGACATGATGTAAGTCCAGATACTCAGTGATGTAGCGTCGGCTACCGCGTTTGTCAATTTTGTCCGACTGAACAGGATAAATTCCCGGGCACTTAAATTCCAGTAAAATTAGCCAGCGCCGCTTTCGTTTCATGAAATCAGGTCGCCAGAAACGAGTTACAAACTTCAGTGATATTTGTGATTAAGCTTCATATTCATAAAAGGAAAGCTATGCGAAAATGTGGAGTGCAGACACGTTGATTTTCTGGCTGTACCAAGACAGGGGTCCTGTCAAATATTTGTGTTATTACTTCAGGATACGAGACCGACCAGTTTGACGTAGGATTTCACTTTTTTAACGAAGTTTGACTTTTTTCTACACGAACGAGAGTAAGGGGATCTTGTAATTCGTTGAAATGGCGTCTTTTCTGGACAAACCTTAGTTTTCATCTGATTTTAATCAGGTTACGCAACACAATATTCATTTCGATTCATCAATGGTTTGACATTGATGCAACAGGGCATAACCGTTTGCATTTTTCCAGCAAACTTTATTCGTCATATACTATGGGGAGTGAAGCTTATATACAAGGTGTACAACGAAAGTATATCACGAATTAAGATTTTACCAAGCTATTATGTTTTAACGGCTTATGTTGGGTGGTTAAGAATAAGTTGAGAACATCCTATTAGCACAAAAACAAATATATCTTTTAATACATCCTAATGAGTACGAAAATCGTGTTTCTGATGTTTTGCGACTTAATGTATGCCACTTTTATTTTCTCTGAAGTGGTGGCCTACATTAAATCGCAAAACGTCAGCAGTACAATTTTTTTTCCTCATTATGATATAACAAAAAATATATTTATCACTTACTTTCTGTTCAATTCACTCGGAACTATCGACTCTGACCTTGCGACTGACACTTGCAAACTCATTTATAAAAATAGCTGCCAAACTGTTTATTAAATTACTCATTTTGTGCATGCAATATATTGCGTATTATCCTACAGTGAATGCTCAACAACACCGGTGTATACAACGTAAACGCCTTCAGTAGATGGGTAAGACACGATCAATAGTGGATATTTTTATGATAATAAGAACGATTTAACTACCAATTATCAATTCAGCACATGAATCCATCAGTTGAACGGCAGGAGACGACTATTTGGGCTAACTCAAACATCACCGTCCGTGACCGATAAACAAACATAATTAAATGACATGTCCAAATAAATCGTTGGAATTGATATGTCAGTTTTGTTTACAACATCTTGTAGTGGCTTTGATTCGTTAATCGGTCACTTCGACAACTTTTATAATATAAATCTCAACGGCGTTTAAAATCTGAATGCAATGAGAAATGGCGACTACAGTTTGTTAGCGGATAGATGACAAAGCTATAAGCACATCGAGCGAATTTAAAGCGGAGAGGCGAATAAGTATGTGCGCGCAATTACATAGGAGAATTTATAGTCAAACTGCATAAAGGCGCAGCAAGGTAAAGCAAGGACTAGTAACAAGATTTGAGTACACATATGGGGGGAGGATGAGTCATCGAATGGCACTTAAGCAAACAACATTTTAGCCAGAGTCTGTTATATAATCTAGTGATCATAACGGTACAGAGGAATATGCGAGTTGTTACCATTCAAATAACATTGTCAAGTAAGTTAATAAAAATGCTTAACCAAAATTAAGCATAATCGAAATTGGTTGTAAGATAGTTGCTATAATCTCCCTCTCATCTGTAAGCAAAAGTCTGTGGCGAAGAATTCCGTACAGACGACAACGCGCTGAATTTACCACATCATTTCTTTTGAATAGCGGTACGCAGACTAAGGGCTTCTGTGTTGGACAGATTTACTCTAGAATTCTGCTAAACCATCTGCTTAAAACGATACCAAACTAACATTAAAAAGTCTACTAACAGCATGATTTTGAAAAGCCCATATTTGCACGATATGTAAAATCGTCTTTTATAGAACGCAGTTACTTTGAGTTGTCTATACACGTGAACATAAAAGAAATGCACAATTAAAATTGTCTGATGAATCAGACAAATAACCCACAATAAGATTGGTGAATTTTTCTTTGTGTTTGTATATTCACGCTAGATATGTGAAAGCCAATTACTTGGTTAACATATCGCAACCACCAAACATTAGATTACTTGATTATTTGTGTACATTTATGGTACTAATTTTCAGCAAATACTTTAATTAGAGATACGAAATGGACTTACGAGATACATATATGTACTCGAAAACGACTTATCATGGACACTGATTACGGCGATTTTCAATCAAATTTTGATTCCTATCATTAATAAGGCTTTGGACTACCTAATATACGCGCAATATTATCCTCACTACAGTCTGATAAGTTTGGCATCATATACAGCGACTTGATAAACATTGTTGAATACCCCGTTCTTGTTCGAAAAAACTGGAGCGCTGAGCCAAACTTCATCACCTGTAATACTTCTGATGATCAACTGAACATTGAAGATTGTTCATTCGTAAAACTGTTGAAACATTGTATATCCGAACCGCCACTTTGTTTCCACGCGCACTAGAGTCGGTTCCCAACTGGTCGAAGCAACATGGGTGTAAGTTACACCTTTCATCATTATTTCCAATAATTTTAATAGGTTCGAGGTAACAAAAAGCATTTAAAAAGGTTAAATGCTCCAAAGCACTGGATGTTGGATAAGCTGGGGGGTAATTTTGCCCCAAGACCCAGTACAGGTCCTCACAAATTGAGAGAATGTCTACCACTCAGCATTTTCTTGCGAAATCGTCTGAAGTATGCGCTCACTTATACAGAATGCACGAAAATATTGGCTCAACGTCTGGTTAAAGTTGATGGAAGGGTGCGCACTGATAAGAAGTACCCTGCGGGATTCATGGATGTTATCACCATAGAGAAAACAAACGAGCACTTCCGTCTTATTTACGACACCAAAGGCAGGTTCGCCATTCAGCGCATCCATCCTGACGAGGCTAAGTATAAACTCTGTAAAGTAAGAAAGGTTCTTGTCGGCCGTGGAGGAGTACCCTACATTGTAACCCATGACGCCAGGACGATTCGATACCCAGATCCAAATATCAAGCCGAATGATACGATCCAGGTGGATATCGCTACGGGAAAAGTTCTGAACCATATTAAATTTGAACCAGGTAAAAGCATTTTAAACTCATTGTTTTTGTAGGCAACATGTGTATGGTAACAGGTGGACGTAACTTGGGACGAGTTGGAACTATTACCCAATGGGAACGTCATCCTGGTTCTGTCGAGATGGTTCACGTGCGCGACAGCACAGGACACCAGTTCGTTACTCGCCTAAACAATATTTTCATCATTGGAAAGTCAAACAAACCATGGATTTCTCTACCGAAAAACAGGGGTATCAGATTGTCTATCATTGAAGAGCGCGATAAGCGAATACGGGCAAGACGTCTTGCTCACTAAATTGCAATAAATTTACTTCGGAACCCAGACTTTTGAAATTCGTGTTTCGCAGCGTTGTAAAGCGCGTTTCTACGACATCAATCTGATATTTCTGTAAACAGGTCGGTCGGGTAAGATGCGCACGAAAACGTTACTTGACACTAGGTTGAAATGGTAAACTATTGTTAAGCTCTCTTGGCTTTAGTCTAGCGGTTACTCAGAATCTATTAACGGGGAAGACTTCAATTGTGTCATTGCATGTCAATGTGCCTCGTTGACAGTTTCACTGTGCCGTGTTGTGATTAGTACTTCTCTAGCACTGTATGGCAGATTGACTTGCTTGTGTACCTTTTTTATGGGGTTTATTCTACCAAGTTATCTTCTTAACGCCTCAGGATCTTTACGAGTAAATGTTTTATGAAGTTCCAAGGGTGTCCGTTACAATTTGTGGCAAATTTATTAATGGAGAATATAAACCGAATAATCTTCGGTGGTGCCGAAAGAATGTTGTGAGGTACAATGTCTCACGCACGTTGCTGGTGCACAGCAGAGAGGTGCCTTTGCGGTGTTCGCAATTGACTTGGTAGATGCTTTTGAATGAGAGTTTGTCACTATGGCGTAGTGTACTGTACCAGAGCGGGGTATGCTGCGGCCATATTTACACGTCTTTACCTATTAACTCGTTCTTAGTTGTCGTTGCAACGGGTTTCTCCACTTTCTTTGAGTGGGACTCGTCTTTAATGTCGTCTTGACAGTTCTCGGAGATCTTGAGTATTTTTGATAGGGACACAGTCGCATCAAAGCGACTAAGTTTATATCTGCCATGACCCTTATCAAGGCATTCTGCGCAGGCACATAGCTCCCTCCTGTTGGGTGATAGCAGAGGCTAGAAGGTGATTACTAAGCTACCATGGGGTTCTCTGAAAAATATGGAGTTAGAAAATCGTCTATTGGTTTCTTAGTGTTATCTTTAATGCGCCTTTACTGATTTATTTTACCGAAGGTACAGGATTTTATTCTGGTAGCTATAAATGCTCCTTGAGTATTAAGGCGTTGAACTTAACATCATTCCTGCAACTGAAATGGTTCCGGTACTTGTGTTATGTCACAAGAAATATGCACATTTAACTCGTTCTGTTTTTATTACTGACTAGTCTCAACTCACTGTAAGTGGCAGAGCATCTATTTTGATTTGATGGGTACTTTCCTCACGTTCAACAGTTTTGAAAGGCTCTGGGATTCATCGGTTGAATATTCATTTCATATTTTCTGAGAACGAATTATTTTCCCTCCACTTTGACAGTTTAGACACCTATTCGGTGGTTCTTACACCAGAATTATAACAAGCTACTTATTGTAGTACTTGGAGCATGTATAACTAATGTCAACTATACCATGAAGATAATACATCCCGGGGATTTATTGAAAAGTGATTTTTTGAATTTGCTTAAGTAGCCTCAAGGATATAGACAACAATCGCCGAAAACAACTAGGCGCGTACTTCGGTATTATCCATCACTAGAAATTACAAATCTGTCACAATAATAAACGAGGGAGTTAAAAATCATATTAGAAAGTCAGATGATTGAGTAGCAGTTTGCTTTGGATAACTTTAACTAAATTTTACTGGGGCATGCTACCGCTGATTATTTCCAAATGCAATACAGGTGGCGAGAGCATCATAAAAACATGTTAAGAATATAAGTACGTTAGAAACAGTGGTCTTGAGTAAAGAACACAAAACAGACACACTGGTCCACGTTGTCGAACTAGATTGGCATAACAAAATAATGTAGCAATCGAAAGACAATCTTAGTAATATGACTTGAAAAGATTATAGAAAGGTATGCACGAAGGTATACTGGAGTACAATATCGAGAAGATAAAGAATGAGTGCATCTGAACCACTGTGGACAATTCTAGGCTGTGTTACTTAAACTTCGTCGCGGTTATCATGCGGACCCCGACCAGATAGTTGGATTCTACCAACATGGGTCAGAGCAACAGTCAATGATTATGGATCGATGCCATAATTTGATCTGGCCACCCATAACTTCCTTGAAACATACTTCTACACAAGCAAGCTCGTCGAGGTGGGTGGTAGTTAGGTATACGTAACACATGTTTTAAAAGCTTCAGTTAGTAAGGTTTAAACCTTCATCAACTGATTTTTCATTTTAGCATAACTTCGATTTTATTCACTCGGTTGTCCTACGATACGCGAACAATGCTTCGAAGACATTCATGATCAAATACTTTCAGCCTACGTGTGTCCTCTACTCTGATGAGCCATGTTTCATAGTCGGAAAGCAGAACAAAGAAGACTGCATAGTATATACTTCCTTTCGCTCACAGACTGGGATCTCGTCCGTGATGCAAGTTACAAGAGTTGGCAAAGGCCAACAGCTTTCTGAATGTATGATGAGATTTCGTTGAACACGAGGGTTAGTTACACTCCCAAGTGAAATGGTCAACTCACTCACTTACTACACTCCCTATCACCAGTTCAGATATTTTACATCAAGACGGAGGAAATGCATCGCAAACATGCCCATATTGTTTTTGAAGTTGATGAAAGGATTCTGAGTTTTGTCAGCGTATTTCCCACATAGGACTATGTCATTTGCGTATTCTGCAGCGATAAGTCAACTTCCTGGTAGGAAACCACCTGGTGAAGATTTAGCTCAAGTCATTTCCAGGAGGATACAAATGAAAATGTTAAGTAAAAATGGAGACAGTGGGAACACCACTTGAGGTTTACAGTTCACCATAAACTCTAACTCGATCAATAGTGTTCGATTAGGGAGCCCTTACAATATTTATATACTTTCTGGGTACGCTTTTCAGTGAAAACCATTGCTACAGAGACTCAAGATCAACAGAGTTGAATGCGGCTTTAAGGTCAAGAAATATAACTACAGTCAGGCGTTGGTAAGTATGCTCATGTTATCACATCTCAACCAACTTGGCCGCTAAAACTGGACCACCAGCCTTACAGATCTCTGGGAACAAGCCACTAGGACCTGCTGCTCACCTTCATCATAGATTGCCTGCAACCTTGTATCACTTTGAAATTCAGGAGATAGTGACTAGCCGGATGGTAATTTGAGGCCAGTCGGACAGTTCCCTAGTGTTCTATTTGTCGGTCTAGTCTCCCGAATCAAGAGCAAGTAATCCATCCCGTCTTTTTCCGAAATAGTTTCGCTAACACTAACAATCTTAATACGTGTTTTCATGATGAGTCTGAATGGCTGCCTTTCCTATCTCTTGCTTTCGTTCTCCATCACTCCTCACGACCATTAAGTAAACTTGTCAGTTCACCTTTGAGTTGTTTCCGCCCTATATCGTCCTCCAAGCCTGATGGAATGAGTTTTCGATTACCTATCAATTTAGTGGATGGCACTGGGATCCACTGGTTTTTACTAACTCTTCGATCTAAATAATTGGCAGATACCATTCCTGCTTATGTATCTTCCCCAGCTTCTTCAGGATGAACTATTTCTCTACAATCGAGGTGCTTGAAAATAAGATATACTCTTTGTAGCAATGAATTAGAATTGAGCAACAATCACATCCACGGCACAGCGAAAACAGAAGTATCCATAGACGAATTGTATTAAACAAATAGTAATTCACCTACGGGAATGAACAGAATCAGTACGATTATCATGTATCTTCAGTGTATGTGCAAAGGCAACCAACATAATTGGAATGACTCAACTGTCAGATGTATGGACTTGCATCCTCAAATTATCAGTTCATATTTTTAAACATCATGTTTATTATCTGAAATAACTAAGAAACCTGAAGCCTTTCAACTATAAACAATAATTTAATAAGATCCATGAGTTAAATGTCTCAGAAATTTATATTTCCCACGTTACACACGACTGATATTGCAGAGAAAGTTTCACCATACGGGTTACTTCTATTTATTCTTCTTTAATTGCAGGACCTTACATTGGGTTGCTTTTTAAGTTTCCCTATAATCGATACATTCTGTGGATGACACGAGACGATTTTGAAACAAACTGATGGCGAGGTGCACTTGTAAACCTTCATGTTTAAAAGTTAGTTCGAATAATTTCGTACGATCAATCACGCGGCATCCTATCATTGAAAACATATGATGGTTATTAATTCCCATTAGTGATTAGTAGAATAATAAGTATCAAATAGAACTATATTTTTCAATAAATACTAAAAGCTGTACATTTGAGAGACATTAGTATAAATATACTGTTGGTGATTAAGGACTGCATGAAGATGAAAACTGTAATGTATTTGTCATAAAATGCTATTTAGCTACATTCGTAGAGATTATGAAAATGAAGTGTCACATTCTGTCTAGCAAATAAATAAAAATCGAGTGATAAATCAGTTGAAACACATCTATTTCACAAGCCAATACGTAATAATGAACATTCTTAACGCAACTGAAAAATAGACGGTGTGCTTTCTGGTTTATATTTCAGTTCCAGAGATTGAAACCTAAAGTAAAGCACAAATAAAATATTTAAAATACAAATTCATACATTTCTGAGTTAAGATGATAGTAATAACCTAGAACATGTCCAATAGATTTCTGTAATCCGATATAATAAAATCCAGCGAATGACGCTCCCTCTATGTGTTTCAACCCGGGATCTGGAACAATGAACTTTTCCTAAGAAAATTTTTGACATTAAAAAAACAACTCACTTTCCACCTCATAAATATCGTATCGGATGTTTCTAAAATAGAGTAGTCGAAACTATCTACATGAAAGTTCCCTAGAGAACTTGTTGCTGGTATTTTTTCCTGCAAGTAAACTGATAATAATTAAACAAATACCCAGTGTAAAACATCTGTTTCCATGGTAGCATCCCATTTCCCAGTCATGAACGGATGTAGTCTACTTATTATTTCTCCTTCAAAATATGTAGTCAGACTTGGATATTCTTGAGTCAAATTCTCGATTTTCATAAAGCCGTATACCATTTTTTGCTTCATATCGACATACTGAATAAAGGTCATGATTATCGAAGATATCGTCTTGCTTGTATTGTTACTTCCACGTTATATTTTTTACCCTTGGATCGCTGAGAACCTGTAAAAACGGCACCACTGCAAAGGCATGATGTAATAGTCGTGTGCGGAAGCTCCTGTGGTAGCAGATCGACATCAAAAACACCGAGCATTTGTAATTTTATTACTCGTTCTAAATTAAACGCGATGAAAGCACATTTTAGCACGGGGACTGAATAGATAAAATTTATGGTTGGGAAAATGGCAATAATGTGTATTCAGAATTGAACTTCAGTGAAATAAACTCCATAGAATTTATAGAACGGAAAATGCGATAATCAGCGAAAATACAATCACTAAATCGTTTGTATAACTGGCCTGTTAGAAGAAAGATGTCAGAGGAGCGTTAAGAATAAACTATTCCAAGGAAGAAATATAGTATCACAGAATCTCGCATGAGTGTTCAAGTTGAGGTAACCAAACCTTATCACAGCAGTGCTAAAGAGGATCAGAAAAAAGATTACAAACAAGCAGTAATGGAGGGGCGATTTAGCGGTTGAAGCACTTAAATATTAGCCAGTAGGTCACGTGTTTAAACCCAGTACCATTTGATTTTGTTTCAGCAGGCGAGTAGTACCACTAGTCTTCATATTAATAGGGGTCAACGTTAAGTAAACCAATCCGTATTATATAACTGTAAGCTGTTGCAAGTAACTGATGAGTTACAAGATACTTAAGATGTGTAATGTATTAACGCCACTATGTTTCCTTCTAGACTTTACCACATGTAATTTCTAGCCGATAGTTAACAACTCGAGTATTCTATCCAGGAAGTATATCAGTCAGTCAGTAACAACGTGAAACTTCGTACGTACGTACATCAGTTCGAGTTGTCATACCACATTAGCAGAGATCCAGTTATCGATTCAAATCCCGTAGTGGTTGAGGTAGTGAAAGTATAAGTAGTAATAGGGAACATTAGGGTTTGATGATGTTATTTAAGGAGTATAATCCAGTGGTATAAATTTGGAAAGAAAACAAAGGACATGAAGAATTCAGAAGATTAGAGTTTGAGAGAATACAGAGAGTGGATGCACCTGTGCCATTGCAAACGATTTTGAGCCATGTCATTCAAGGTTTCTAACCATCGGTTGCCATCATCTCGCGGTCCCCAACCAGGTAGTCTACATCTGCCAACATGGCTCAGTACACTTGTCAGTGACTTCATGTTTTTGTCTGGCCGCCCCTACCTTTCTTCCAACCTATTCCTACACCACAAAACAACGCACGTCGGGGCATTCGGTGGTCTGGCATGCGCAACACATGTCCCAGCCATCTCAACTTGTGAAGTTTCACTACTTCATCAATTGATTTGCCATCCTTACCTAGTACCCGTTTCCTAACAACTGAGTTGCCCCCAAATGCTCTGGTATGGCCGAGAGCGGGGAGGGTTCGCCCTCCTTCTCGAAATATTCTCACACGGCCACGCGTATATAGCCTCTGCCAGGGAAGTCCTACTCACTGCCTTCTCGTGGTGGGGCTGTTGTTTACGAAAATGAGAGGACGAAAGCGAATGTCCGGCGCTTTAACCGGATCCCAAACCAATGGTGCACATGGGCTCCAGTATCCTGCGGGAACAAATGGCGTATGAACCAATCGTTAGTCACCGGTTACCATGGGACTGCATCTCCTCACGATACTCCACTGCCTTGTGGGTCAGACGTTCAGGTCGAAGGCTCGGAGTGTGGCCCCTTAAGAAAACCACCTGCTTTGATTTGTGCAACCGGGCAGTATCTCAGCCCACACACAAAAATCATGATGAACTATTTGCTTATGGAAAATATTACTTCCTCTCTGATTAACAATGAAATGACTCGTACTATTATTATTATCATTATTAGTATTATTTTACCACGTCGTTTATTCACTCTCTTTTATTCCTACTCTATCTATCCTTATTTTTGGACTTATACAGCAGCTCGCCTATGGTGGAAATTCGGCTCTATCTAAACGTTCTCGAGTCACTGCCTGGTGGAAAATTGTATGCTACCACCGAATACGAATACTGAAGCAGTTTTTCTGAAACAACGTGCACCATTCAAACTGGCTGCCTTCAACGTTCGCACACTTATGCAGGTCGGACAACAGATAGGGCTACCTGTGTCTTTGGAAAGTCTTAATATCGATGTTTGCCGTCTATCCGAGACCCGTATTCAAGACTCTGATGAAGTACTACAAATTCGCTCTCCATCTGTTACCTCAAAAAGCTTGTTTTACGTGCGTTTATCCGTGGACCCTGTGGCATCTTCGTCTGATCTTGCTGGCGTTGGTGTCGCATTAAGCGCTAGAGCTGAGGCAGCACTAGTCGATTGGATCCTCATTAACAGTCGGTTATGTGCTGTTAGATTAGAAAGTTCCATCAAAGTGAGAAGAAATCGGCGTGAGGAACGATGTGTTTTCGTCATCTCCGCCTATGCTCCGACAGATTGCAGCCCGGACACAATCGCGGATGAATTCTACCACCAGTTAACTGTTCTTTTCCAGAAAGTGCGTTCGACATATATTGTAGTACTAGCTGGAGACTTAAATGCTCAGGTCGGGCGTCTAGGCACAGAAGAGAGTCGCTTAGGTGGCCGATGGGGACTTGTTGGTCGCAGGACAGATAACGGGGAACGTCTACTGCAACTGTGCACAGACCACAACCTGTTTCTGGCTAGCACTCACTTTCGGCACAGTCATCGCCGATGTGCCACCTGGCGTCCCCCTTCTGCATCTCAAGCCTGGACTCAGATTGATCACATCGCGATCAGCTACCGCTGGCGTGGTTGTGTGTAAGACTGCCGCTCCTTTTAGAGCACCTATCTGGACTCTGATCATGCCCTAGTCTGCGCCAATCTTACCTTACTTTTCAGTGACCAACGGAGTGACCGCCACCACAGGATTGATGTTAGCAAGCTGGTTGCAACTTCTGTTGCCAGTAAATATCGAACCGAGCTAGCTTCTAGGCTAGCTACCATTCCACCGAAAAGTACAGATAAGCATTGGCTGCAATTGCATGACGCCATGAAAATGGCGGGTAAAGTCTGTTGTGGGTTTGCGAAACGTCCCGCTTACAAGCACTGGGTTTCTTCTGGTTCCTTACAACTGATTGAAGCCCATCGGTCTACTCCGGGTGACCGTGAGTTTGACCACAGACGAAGGATGTTACGTAATGAAAACGGGCAAAGCTTGCGTAAGGACCGTGAAGTCTGGTGGTCGGAGCGTGCCAGTGAGTTGGAAGCAGCAGCTGCATCTGGTAGTTACCGGAAGCTCTTCCAACTCATCCGAGCCACTGGCAGCGAAACAATCTGCAAGGATGACGGAACACCAATCACCAACATCCATCGACGTCTTGGACGATGGGCAGGATTCTTTGAAGGGCAGTTCCACTGGCCTGCTGCTCCGGCAACATCGGTCAGACTGTCCCGCCCTCTATGGCCGATGACGACTGATCCACCAAATGAGGCGGAAGTCCGCAAGGAACTCCAACTCTTGAAACGTTACAAATCACCGGGCCCAGACGACTTACCTCCGGCTCTTTTTAAAGATGGTGGTGACTTTCTGACTAAGGGACTGACGACGTTGTTTACAAAGATCTGGGAACTAGAGTGTGTACCAACGTCATGGAATGAGTCGATAGTTGTCCCTATCTTTAAAGAGGGTTCACGTCGTTTCTGTAACAACTATCGGGGGATAAGTCTACTTCCGATTGCGTCCAAGCTATTGGCTTCCGTCATAGTTCGTAGGTTGTTCAGAACCCGAGAAGGATTGACTCGCGAGGAGCAGGCTGGGTTTCGTTCTGGTCGAGGATGTATTGATCATATCTTCACCGTCCGCCAAGTGTTAGAACACCGCCATACTTATCAAAGGCCAACAATCGTAGTGTTTCTTGATATCAGGGCTGCCTTCGATTCGTTGGACAGAACTGTTCTCTGGGATTGTCTATTGAAGAAGGGTGTGCCTGAGAAGTTTATTAACATCCTAAAAGCCCTATACACAATTACCTCAGGCAGAGTGAGGGCATACAACCACCTTTCTCCATTATTCCATTCGAGCAGTGGGGTTAGGCATGGTTACACAATCTCACCATTCCTCTTCAACTTTGCCATCGATGACATTCTGGAAACAGCTCTGATGGATGTAAGTAATGGTGGAGTGGATCTGTTGCCTGGAGAAAGACTTCTCGACCTTGAATATGCGGATGTTATTGTCTTACTGTGCGAGAATGCCGAAGCCATGCAATCCGCACTTAATCAGTTGGCAATCAGTGTCCGTAGGTATGGTATGTGCTTTGCACCTTCGAAGTGCAAAGTTCTTCTACAAGACTGGCAGGATTCTAATCCTGTACTCACTCTGGATGGTGAGTAGATTGAAGTAGTCGAGAAGTTCGTGTATCTGGGTAGCTGCATAAGTGCTGGTGGTGGTGTGAGTGATGAGATCAATGCACGTATAGTGAAAGCCAGAGCGGCTTATGCCAATCTGGGCCATCTTTGGCGCCTTCGTGATGTTAGTCTGGCTGTAAAAGGTCGGATCTACAACGCGACGGTGAGAGCGGTTTTGCTCTATGCTTGTGAAACCTGGCCTCCGAGTTGAGGATGTTAGACGACTCTCTGTGTTCGATCATCGCTGTCTCCGATGGATCGCTGACATCCAGTGACAACACCATGTCAGTCATGGAGAGGTTCGGCATCGTGTGTTCAGGCACAGAGACGATAATGCAATTGGTGTCACCATCTTGAAACACCGACTTCGGTGCCTTGGATATGTTCTATGAATGTCGTCCCAGAGAATTTCACGTCGTGCATTATTTGCCGACTCTGGAACTGGTTGGAAAAAGAGGAGAGGTGGTCAGTATATGACATGGTGTCGTGATATGAAAGAAAGCTGCAAAGGGCTAGCTTCTGTTGGTCCTTCACGACTCCCTGGCTGGGGTCCGAGAGACGGTGTAACTCAGTGGCTAAAGACGTTATCAGATATGACTCAGAATAGAAGTCAATGGCGATCCTGCTGTAATCTTCTTTTACTTTCTTCATAAAAAGTGGTTGTATCTTCCTTAACTGAAAGATCTCTTCTGATTGTACCTTTCCGTTTTCCCCATCATTGTTCTCTCTCTCTCTTTTTTTTTATAATTCCTTACGTTCATTACTTGTTTTTTTCTCTTTTCTCCTTCTCTTCAAATTATCATTGTTTTGTGTGGCGCATATATATTTGGTGCCCCCCCTGTACCAATATTTATGTGTTCAAATAAATAAAAAATATTGTACACCTGTCATGAAGCAGGAAATGCTTTGCACACACGAGTTGCACTGATACTGTCCTGAGAAGCACGAAGAGCACTTATAGGATGTAAACCTCATGGATTCATAATCATCAAAGCAACCTTGGAAACAAAAAGGAGGAAATCACAATAAATATTGTCCAGCGCTATGCACCTACTAGCGATTGTAGTAAAGATGATAAAAATCAGTTTTATGCGAGGCTTCAGTCGATCATAGAGTAGTGCCCGATAAAGTACCTGACTATCCCGATGGGAGACTTAACACGCACAAAACTACATGGGTCTCACCGGACCACACTATAAAGAATCACATTAATGATTATTGATTCACTAAGAAATTTAATAGGTCAGTGGAAGACGTGCCAATATTTATGTGTTCACATAAAATAAATAATAAAATACAAATGAATAATGATTTGGATTAACTTTGACGGCTGATGCACATGCTATACGTTTAAAAACAACACCTACTCTAATCTGCAAAAAAATTCACTAAGCAACGCAAACGTCTTGTAACGCATAATAAAATAAATACATATCAGCAACCACGGATAAGTTTATGTACTATGTAGTCAATCACACTTACTATGTTAACTGATACTATCTCACTATTTGTGATAAGTAGCCACGTACAAATATATGAAGCATTAGTTGAAAGTCAGATGTCCAACTCAATGATGGACAAAATTACGCAAGACCTCGTACAAATATAAGTAAAAATGGAAGGTATTTAGGTAAACACGATATTCTAAAGTGGAATGAAAATAATGTGAGTGCATTTCGATCATTGTGACCGACTTCTGACCACATTAATCTGTGATCCCGATAAGCGTCAATAAAAGACTAAAAATACCCATGACAGAATACCTGCGAAGGACTATGATTTTCAACAACTATAAGCGAGGATAAAGCGAAGTTCTGTACACTATAACCGTCATCATTTCAGCCACAAGGTCTGATGCTGTATTACAGTTTCAATTTTTCCAAGAAGTTTCACTCATGTTTTGTGATTTTAAACAACTGTCTAATGTATTCTGTTGAAAGCTTTATTTTGATGCACATTACTGCTCATGATCGCGTATACGTGTTAGCAGTCTATATTTAAATGCCTTGGTCACATATCGTTACAAGTGTCTGCTAGACATTACAGTGTCTACCAGTCAATCCTGGTAATCTGAATCAAGTCATCAAAAGACAGGAATCCTGTATTTACTTCAGGTCATTATAGAGTATTTCGGGCTGAATATCCTGCCTATAGACAACTAAATGTCTTGCAATTCCTTTTTTAACCACACCCTTAGGTAATTACTGTTGGAATTTACCAGAGATTAGTAAGACAGACAAATGGGTACTTACACTCGCATTTTTGGAGTATGCACTTAAGAAAGAATGGTAATCGCCTACCAACTCTTTTGAGAGATAACTGATAACAATAAGGTTTACTTATATCCATTGACACGGCGAGTTTGGGCACCCGGGCAGTATCACAGCCCTCACACATATCAAATGAGATCTGTGTGGCGCATATGTATTTGGTGCCTCCTTGTACCAATATCTGTGTGTTAAAATAAAATAAATAAATATGGAGAGTTAACAGGTTGAATGCTTTCCACCATATTTAAGGGTAGTACTGGTAAGAAACAAAAGTTTGTCCAACCATATCTTAGACCATCGCCATTACGTTGGTTGAACTGAGGCAACTTCCATCCGGAAGCTTTTCTGCTTAATTTACCTCACTTACTTGGGCGACAAAATCATACGTTAAAATTGCTTCAACTGAGTGTTTAGCATTTTATAGTCCCGAGAGTTTCTAGTATAACTGATATTCGATTCAGAAAGTAATCAGTGGCAGAATGGAGAAGGATATGTTTTTATCTTTCTAACTTATTACCTACGAACTTATTTTTGTACCTATAACAAGCATACACTGAAAGTCGCTAACGAATCTGCAGATACGCAAAGAGGACGATGTTGAATCGCCACACCAGATAATTAGTTCTAAGTAAATAACCAGGCTTAGTTTTGGATGCAGGATTCATACACAGCAGACATTTATGCTGGATGATTCTATAATCCTGGCTAATGGGGTCTTTTGCTTGACTTGATATGGGGTTCGGACATCGGAAATTCAAACATGCAATTAATAAACCAGTTCTATGACAAACCGGAATATTACTACTAGTTGGACATGAGAAAGATGGTCATGGAAGATGCATTTATGATGAGCATACAAATAATGTAGGAAAAGAATCACTGGTAAACTAGAATAATTTCATTTTATATTTATTTTAACACATAGATATTGGTACAAGGAGGCACCAAATACATATGCGCCACACAGGTCTTATTTGATATGTGTGAGGGCTGATACTGTCCGGGTGCACAAACCGAAGCAGGTGGTTTTCTTAAGGGGCCACACTCCGAGCCTTCGACCTGAACGTCTGACCCACAAGGCAGTGGAGTATCGTGAGGAGATGCAGTCCCATGGTAACCGGTGACTAACGATTGGTTCATACGCCATTTGTTCCCGCAGGATACTGGAGCCCATGTGCACCATTGGTTTGGGATCCGGTTAAAGCGCCGGACATTCGCTTTCGTCCTCTCATTTTCGTAAACAACAGCCCCACCACGAGAAAGCAGTGAGTAGGACTTCCCTGGCAGAGGCTATATACGCGTGGCCATGTGAGAGCATTTCGAGAGGGAGAGCGGACTCTCCCCACTCTTGGCCATACCAGGGCATTTGGGGGCAAACTAGAAACTAGAATAATGCTAGTGTGTGTGGGGTTCAGTAACCAACCAATCGCATGGTAAATTAACATTCCCTTTCCTAGGAATGTGGAAAGGAAACGAGATTGGCTGAGGTTATAAGAATGTGATCATTGAATTCTGACTTAGTAACTGGACAATATCATGAATCAAAAGCTGCGTTCTCACACTAGAAATACCATTACAGAAATATGAATACTTCATTCACTAAGTCACCACTTCGCACATGTAGAGATCTATAATTCCAAACTATTATATATCCTTAGCATCCGTTACAGAAAACATGAAAACAACCAAAGCGATAGAAATTCCATAAAAACAAGAGTTTCGTGCCATCTAAATAGGATAGTGAATCACAATGTTGAAGCTTATCTGCAATGGCTCGAAGAATGATAGGTAGGTAAGCAGATTCAGAAACTGGGGATTAAACGAAAGACTGGCTTTAGCTAGACGACCTTCAGTACTCTTAAGCTGAGACAAGTGAAATGTCTTGAATAACATTCGAGCCTCGCTTTCGGGAGGCAGGAAGTTACCACGTCTAGCTGTTTTTCTGTGAGAAAAAGCACCGAGGGCCTCCCGGCGCATTGTCCCAATGTGGATTAATCCCATTTTATGGATAACAAGAACTAGAAAAAAGTTTTAGAAAGCTACTATGGTGAATTTTAAAGCGAAAATTCACTCTGGAAACTAAATTATTCTCAGTAAGGATAGATCGGATCTTAATCAGGAAGAAAAACATAGAACACCAAGTACCTGAACACAAAACGTTCATATTATGAAATAATTTAGACCATTACTTAGCAATCGGCGAGACTATAACTTATGGACGAACCAATAAAATTAAGGATAGCACGTTTTGGATTTTGGCGCAAAAATTCATCTATTCATATGATTAAATAGTATTATAGGTGATGTTAGTTCGTGATGAAAGCCCTGAATTTAATTCTTAACCATAAACTCTAACTCTAAATTCCAATACTAATTCCTCAGACTAGTTTATAAATTTCACTTAGCCCTAGCAAGGTGTCCTTTTCAAGGTCACCATCGTCGTCCACAAATTATGGTCTCACCCAGCAGTACGTTACGCCGCTCAACTAGGATTACTACAAACTGTCGTGCTCATAGTAAGAATTTTAATGAACATGATTTGTCATTGCAGGAACTTTAAAGAACTTATTGAATCTCCTGTAGAATTTAGCTGGATGATAGTGTACGAGATCTTTAAACAGCTTTCCCGAAAACTAATTAGCTTTATGCTGACATGAAGCCAGAAAATTAAGCTTAAATATCTACGTAACTGGTTTTGAAAACTTCTTTACAATACTATGGTAATTTCCAAACCAGGAAATTTGGGAACCTGCAGTTCCAGTCAAGTTGCATAGACGTTTATGACAGATTCTTAGGATAAGCGTTGCCGTAAATGTTTTACGAACTTCAAGACTTTATGCAAGCCAGTAAACAAACAGGGAGGCCAAATTAAAAACTCACGGCCAAGAAATAATGAAACTGATTTGTACTCAGTTTTCACACTAGATATAGATAATTTAGTCCTATAACCAAAACCCTCATATTAAAGGAACTCTCATAAACAAGCCCATTTTTCACCACTTAATGAATAATTTCTCAGCCTCAATTCAATTTTCACACTGATAATCATGCCAATATAGTGACGTCATAGAATGATGATCGAAAAACACTGATAGAAGGGCTTTATGTAAAGAAATTATTTATATTCAAGTGCCCATACAACAATTGCACCAAGGCGGTGTTAAGCAAAAGCGCAATACGCTTCTCTGAAAGGCCACAGATTTTCAAGGACTCTTAAAAAAACAGACTACCGTGATAATCGTGAACCCTCTTAAATTTATTTCAAACTTTATTGAGTTCGATACACTTAGCCCGAAAAATCCAAGTGCAGTTAGTTTTAAAAGAAAGAAAAATGTTGGCATTTATGCTGGCAGAGGACTTACACAGATCGCTATAGGAAAAGAAACATATTTTTCTTTTCTACCTATATCGGAAGTCCAACTTTAAATTAAATCAACTTTGGAAAAAAAAAGGACTCAAATATTTTGCAAGGTGACGTTTTTATATACATGATATGTACCCCAACTTAGAACACAACTTCATCGAATAAAAGCATACTGAATATAACACACACTGCGATTTCGGAACCTTTGCGCGACCTTCAACCTTCTGAAATCTAAGAGCCCGCTATTCAACGCCTATATGGTTCAAATGGTTGTGGACGGAATAGAAGAAGCTTTCGCTTAACAGGCTTCCGTGTCTAGTAGCAGGGGATCACCAATACCTCCAGGCAAGAATCTAAGTATATTAACGACAAAAGAGAAAAAAATGAATTGGTAAATCATAGTAAGATACTATCCTCAGTCATTAAGAATAGATCAAGTCGCCTCTTAAAGGACTCCTGGGAAGTTGCTTGTACTAGCTCAGCTGGCAGCGAATTCCAGCATTTGACAATTCTTAAGGAGTAGAAGTTGTGCCTGCAGTCCGTCCTACTATGTTGGATCTCTAATTTCTGGGTGTTACCCATTAGGTTAGTGTTGGGACTAAGCTTAAGTAGGTGTTTAAGGTGATGTCGAGAAGTGTTAAGGATACTGTAAGCCACTAGAAGGTCACCTCTAAGACGCCTATACTCTAATGGATAAAGGTCGAGTGATTGGAGGCGCTCTTCATAAGGTTTAAATTTGAGTCTCCGAACTGATTTCGTGGCTCACCATCGGATACGCTCCAGAGTGTCCTTATCCTTTTGGACTGAGGGTAGAAACACAATATTGCCACGCTCTTAATGGGGTCGAAAACAACTGTTGAAGATTATGTCGAAAGTTCCTCCATCAAACTGGCCGAAAATGCGCTTCGATGTTACCAGTGCAAGGTTTGCTTGAAAGGCATATCTGTCACAGTTGGCGTAAGACTTTAATTCGTAAGGCACCAGAACTCCTAAATCTTTTTCGACTAGGGATACTACTAGAGAGGAGTTTCCTGAGTTGTAACTGTAATCTGCGACGTGTCGCAGATGGACTACTTTACACTTTGAGGCGTTAAAGGTAAGTCTGTAGTGGCATTGTGACCTAACACGAGACAATATGAGAAATAGACATTAAACATTTAACGCGGAGAAATACAGAAGAATGGAGAAGGCGGGAACAATGAATTGTATTAATCGGAGTTAATCAGATGGCATGACTCAACCATGCAGGCGTGGTCCCTCCTGAATCTTACCTCACATCTTTTATCCATATTAAATATATTTTATCTCTAGCCTAAGCTTGTTCTCCATGATGTACTGGTAATTGTTACGATGCAGTGAGTTGGTGTAGATGATGATGTGACTTCCACGTAAGATCTTATAGATTAGGCAGTTACATCATAACAAATCTACAATTTTAGGATTAGGTCTATAATTAGAGCAGTACTAATATCACAGTAGACCATAATTCTACATTGGTGAGCCCGACTAAAGAAACGCAACCTATTATTATTTTTTCTCTTTTTCACTTGATATTTCTGGATCGATATATTCTTATGTAAACCCATTATTCTAATAGTCCTCTGATTAATGCTCATGTGTATTATCGTAATGTTATGTTGATTAGTTCTCATAACTTACTAGCTCAATCAATAATAAAAACTGGTCATCTACATTAACTAATTAGATTTTGATGGTTCGTTAACAAGCTTTAGTAGCATTTACATGGTTCAGCGAAATAAACTTGTTTCAACCTCAAGCTCTAGCAAATATGACTTGCAAATAACCTCCATATACATTGACTAACCATGCAATCAAAGACTAAATAGTTATCTGGATCTAATTCTTAGTGTTCCTTCACTTAACACATTCTGTCTTAAATTATGCACTATCCTGTAATATCTTTTTTTCTTCCGACCACTGCTTGCCTAATTTCATATTCTCGAGTTCCATTGCCAAACAACAAGGATGACACTACTACAAAAGCATACGGTGAGTTTTAGCTATACGTTTTCTGCAATCATAAGCTCATTTTAGACGGCTCGTTCAATGGCAACCACTTAATTTTCTGGATTCATTCAATTGTTCTGATCCGAGCAAGTGACAAAAACGTCAGCGGCACCAGGGACCCTGGAATTAATTACCATACTGAATGTTTTATTCTAGATGCTTTTGGATCATTACTTCTCACGAATGGCGTTACATATGTCGTCTATTTAATATTCCAATTTTCAAAAATAATCCAGGGGAGTTTAACTATTTTACTGGATGCTTTTTTGAACTTGATATGTATATATTTTCCAGTTGTTTTTGCTACATATTTGTAAGTGCCACTATGCTTAATTCAGGAACCTCTTATGGGAAGTTTATAACGCATCATAATCCTGCCGGAAGTTTCATAAGCAGTCTTAACTTAAAAATTATTTTTCTGTCAATGTTTAATGTTTTTAAAATTGTCATATACATCAATAACCTGCATGTTTAACAACCCCGTCAATGCGTTGCATTATATCTCCATGCCTTTTGAATTCGGAAGTCATTTGAATCGCCTTTAGCATTTCTCACCAAACCCATCATAGTCATTCTTGCTATACGTATTTGGGTTTGTCAATCGGTCTACCATATTAGTAAAATAAAAAGACAAACATAGTTTAGATAATAAAGTTGCAAATTTGAGTACTAGCATACTACCTTAGTATGATAGCCAAACTATCAGGTGGTTGTTGGTTAAACAAACATTTAAAATTAAAACTCCGGAAGCTATTACTAAAATTAACACTAGATGTATATTCTTGAATTGAAATGTATAATATAATTAGACGGCTCGGTTTCTTCAACGCTACAAATTTCTGATAATTTCAAATCACCTAAAGCAACAATACCTATTTTTTTCACCGGCTAATCCTCAATCAACACTATAATTAGTTAGACATAATGGTTTCAGGATATTGTCATAAAGCATTGTCATGACTTGCCAATCACGTAATATGGTTGATAAAGTTGACGAAACTATTAACAAATCGGTCAGCAAATTGACTTATAATTATCATTAAGTAGTGTTGTTTTTCTTTTCATTCACTACGGAAGATTACAGTATGTTTGTCAGTTGCTCATTCAGTAAATATCTCAAAATCTTGTCAGTCTAACTGGAGGTTTAGCGACACAATCATGCATGCAAATCATCAGTATAAGCAGTTGAGCAAATCTCCTGCAAACTGAAAACACAAATGTCGAATTCACCCCAACACTGACTAAGGTTCAAGCCATTATCATAGACATGAGTTGGGAGTGTACTCCCCTTGGTTACAACTTATGTTCTCCCTGGTATTCACATGAGCATCACTCGCTGTTATTCATCATGCAAAAAACTTTTTTAGACGAATACATCTTGCAGCACCACATCACCTAGAAAGGTGGCACATAGGCTTAACTGATTTCAATTACTTATAATCACTATGTCTCAATGAAATAGCATTCTGCCTTGTACTAAACTGACACTTGCAACTAACTTGTATGTACCATCAGCCGATAGGTATGAATATAAATAAATAGTCTATGGCAAATCAGAACATTGAGTCTAGAGCATATCTCTAACGGATACACTCATGTTTAACGAATCGCTCTTAGCTATATGTCCAAAATCCACGTAATAATTACTTTTCACGTATTTAAAAATTTTTGATAACAATTCATATGTATTAGTTGTATTACTAAATTCTATCACGGTCAAGTACAAACGAGGTCGAGAAAATCTCCCCATATCTAAATAAACAGTATCAAACTAACTGGAACACTAGTTGGAATTGTTCTCTGCGGTTATACTTTTGTTCTTTCAGTTAGCCTACTAATACAGATGCAATTGGAGATCTACTCATGGACAACTTACCGGCACATACGTTATTTGATTTCATAATTTAGACCAAATATAATACCAGTTTTAACATTTCTACAATATTGATTGTTTTTTAATATTTCTAAACAGGAAATGTTATTAATCTACGGCTAGTACTAACTATCTTACGGCGACTTATTAAAATATCCCTATACGGAGTCATTTCATTATAATTATAATCCCGCTTTGTTTAGCTCAAATAATCTCCGCCCAAATCTTCATTTTAAGCGTGTGTTGAGGACGATAGATCCCCAAAAACTCATAGTTTGTAATTTATCTTGTGGAGCTTGTATGCACATGTATACGTGAGCATTTCTTACCGCCCACGCACATAGTTGATTGACGAAATTATCGATTAAATGTTTAAATATTTCAATGGCAGTCAATCGACGAACTATCGATTAAATGTTTCAAAGCTCCATGACAATATCGATGTATATATAATTGTATATATACGTTTTGAAATTGTATTGTAAAAAAGTTTGCTGGTTTCGGGTTGTTGCGGAATATATTTCATTCCAAGCTTGGTCTTCTCTCTCTAGATAGCGGGCTGGGACGCGTCAATAGGTAGCTTATTGGACATTGTTCACCGAATGCTCGATCTCGTTCGCAAACTACGTGAACCCGTGATCTCTCTCTCTTTCAAACCTAACAGCGTGTTGAGCATTAAACCAGACATTTCCCGACCAGATGCTGCCACCTTCTTTTTGATTTATCTTTCAGTTCATCAATACCCGGACGATTCTTATTATTCTTGCTAACCTCCGGCGCGCGACAATCCCGCACAACTTGGTATCGAACCAACGTCACGTTGATTCTGGTGGGAGAGTAGTGTAGTGGCATTGGGCTCTACCACGAGACAATATGAGAAATAGACATTAAACATTTAACGCGGAGAAATACAGAAGAATGGAGAAGGCGGGAACAATGAATTGTATTAATCGGAGTTAATCAGATGGCATGGCTCAACCATGCAGGCGTGGTCCCTCCTGAATCTTACCTCACATCTTTTATCCATATTAAATATATTTTATCTCTAGCCTAAGCTTGTTCTCCATGATGTACTGGTAATTGTTACGATGCAGTGAGTTGGTGTAGATGATGATGTGACTTCCACGTAAGATCTTATAGATTAGGCAGTTACATCATAACAAATCTACAATTTTAGGATTAGGTCTATAATTAGAGCAGTACTAATATCACAGTAGACCATAATTCTACATTGGTGAGCCCGACTAAAGAAACGCAACCTATTATTATTTTTTCTCTTTTTCACTTGATATTTATGGATCGATATTTAGTTATGTAAACCCATTATTCTAATAGTCCTCTGATTAATGCTCATG